GCATCTTGCAGCATTTTGAAAATAAATTTGTAGCATTTTATAGGAATTTGAGAAGCGATTTTTTTTTTTTTTTTTTTTTTTTTTAAAAAAGCAATTTGTAGCACATTTAAAGACAAACAATAACAAACTGTAGGATTGTTTCACTCATGATTTTCACGTGGCCGATATATTTACACTAAGAAATTTGCAGTCGATATATGTGCCTATCGTAATAATTCATGTTAATACATCACACAGAATGTTAATTTCATTAGGGTAGAAGGCATTTCAGAAACTCTTGACAGAATTAACTGATAAGGCTCCATAATCGGAAAAAGATATACGAAGGACGGAAGGAAATGTGACTTCTTTTTGTTTTACTGCATCTGTACACTATAAAGTTGCTACTAACAATTGTATAATTATCATGCATGCGTCTACTTTGAGCATGTTTTGGCCATCAGATGTTATACATGTGAAAGTTTTCCCCTGAATAAAAACACCTTATTTAACTTTTTTTTTTTGTGTCAATACATATATCGCTATTTGAAATATTTATTAAAAGTAAAAATAAGCAGTCTTGCTAAAAATCATTTTCGAATATTTTGAATTGCCTACTGTCTTCCTATATCAAAGTCAAACAGGAAAGATTAACTACTTTCCTTTCATAGCCAATTCTTTGAAGCTGGAGATAATGTTGTCTTGATTTGGAATATTTTAGACGCGTCTTGCTTTCGGGTCAATTTCAGGGTATAATTTTCAAGTCACTTTTTGTGCATATTGAATTTGAGTGCATCTTAATTTGTCGCAGCTTGTATTCTATGAATTACATTAGGGGTCTTATATTGGAAGGCATCTTGAATTGAAATTAATTTATAGTTGACATAATTTTACTTTAGGGAAACTTATTTTTGGAGTTATCCTAGAGTTTTTTTATTTAGCAAATTATAGCAGTAATTGAAAATTTTAATATATATTTGGCATTTAAAGCAGTTGCCATTTTGTTGCACCTCTAAGTATTATCCGTCGCCAAGAATAACTACCCGTCATCAAGAATATCGAGATAAAATTATCTCGATATTCTAACTTTATCGCGTTGTTCTATTGGCAAACACTTCACTGACCAACTATCACAAGAGATTTTACTTTGAGCTTCTGCGGTATTTGGCCGTAAAGAAACAACAAACAGAAATTTTTCGCCGAATGAAAAACACATTTTGTTAGAGTTAATAAACAAACTGATGTTGTAATACAACAAAATTAAACAATTTTTCTTGAAAACAACCCCGATAACTCGGCCAACAGAAAATGTTATGTATTTTACGTTAATAAGGTGAATAGCTTTTAGTAGTTCAGACGGTATTCCCCCCCCCCCCCCCAAAAAAAAAACCGGAAAGTATCAGCATAATCTAAAATAAGCGAAAAATTATTTAATTTTTGGAAATTTTCTAACACAATATGTAAGTAATATTGATCTTACCAGGATGTTAGTAACGGCGAAAATCAATTGCGAAATTCTCCCTCAGCTCTTCACCTTAAATTCACTGGATGTGCACCCAATTTCTACGTTAAGGAGCTCGAAACCTTCTGTACAACAAATAAATTATCAGGAATTTTCGAAATGACAAAACCGCACGCTCGTTGCGTAAAAAAAAATCACTTCCAGCAGTCAAAAAAAAATCCATGCTGTCTTCTTGTATATGCTGTTCACAGCAAAATGAGCACTTTTGAAAGACCTGATAAAGATCTACTTGAATGAACGTTGTGTGTATTCTTACGCCTTATGCAAAATTAACATTGTCATCGGCCTCATAACTTTATTCATTCGTCGGTCAAGTAAAACTTAAAATTATTAGGAAATTAAACAAATATTGTAAAAATGTGCTCATTTGTATACTTCGGTGTATTAAAAAAACAGAGCGAAAGTAATAATTTATAGTAATCACAAATGGTTACCTAACACTTTTTATTCGATATTAAGATATGGAACTATTTTCCATCCATCGTTACCAGCTTTACTGAGTCAGTGTCACTCACTGCGCCTATTAAAAATTATGCATTCAGGGGTAGAGACATTTTTGTAAGGTTGATTTCTAAAGTGCTCACTTTATCGTGAACAGCGTATAATCAACTTTCCCATGCGCAAAAGCAAAATAAACAAACCCACGTGTTGGCTGTGACGTTTGCAGTCAGTACCAACTGACTCGTTTATTGTGTCCCTTCAAAGACAGTTTCTCAACGGCTGGATCTGACCAGCCACCAGACCACGTGATTCTGTTTAGGCAATAATAGTCTGAATTATTTTATTATGATTTTAACTTTCAACTTCTCATATTTTATTTAATAATAATGTTTCCGTTATATATTCTTTAAATATTTTCTTTTATCATGGTTGGTGTACGAAGAATCACGTTGGTACCAGTGAAATATTCCCGCGAAATCTACAAAAGTTAATTTGTTGACCATATGTGACAATATCATCTTTGACTGTTTGTTCACGTTGATCTTTTTTGTTGGGTTACCTACCATTGGCGAGTATTCATATAAGTGTAGTGTATTGTGTCCTGCATGTAGTTTTCCCGAGAAGCGTTTCGTTAGCGCGTGGAACCGACAGTTTCCAATTTAGGTTAGGCGGCGTTGTTTATGTGTCGTGAACGTATTTGAAAATATTCCGCCTTTAAAAGCCTACATGTGAATTCGGCCACCAGCGCTTGCCCTGACTTTCACTTGCATTCTTCGTGGTTCCACGCGTGTTTTTCCTTTTTCCAATCCAAGCAGTCGAGAAAGTTTGAAAATATTCCGCCTTTAAAAGCCTACATGTGAATTCGGCCACCAGCGCTTGCCCTGACTTTCACTTGCATTCTTCGTGGTTCCACGCGTGTTTTTCCTTTTTCCAATCCAAGCAGTCGAGAAAGGGTTATGCCAAATTGCAGTTTATTCTGACAGGTGTAACTCGGAAGTCTGAAGAATGTCATCTTTGTTGTATGCAGAACTAGCTGCAACATGCAATGCCTTGGGATATAATGACGGAAACAAGTATTACGTGGATGCACACTGTTTAGGTATGTGGGTGTGGAATTTTATTTATTTCTATTGTATTATTGTTATTATTTTGCTTCGTAGTTCGTTGATCAGGAAATTTTCCATTTCAATGTCGAACAGTGGCTACAATTTGGTTACAATGTACATAATTTACTTTTACAAAGTTTGCAAGATTACAGGAGTAAAATATCTGAAGTCGCTAAACAGGGAAGGACCTTGACATAACTATCATATTTACAAGACATGTAGGTAATCTGTTTACAGAACATATTATTTTACATTCGCTGCTGTTAGTTGGTCATAAGTATTAGACAGTATGAAGGCATTATCACCTGAACCCAGCATGGCTTACTTTTATAAGAATCCTGGCATTTAGCACCCTCCAGAAATTATATTAGAATTCAGTGTTAACTAATTACAGAGCGCTTACTGCAATATTTCACATGCATAGGACAAAATCGGTAGATAGAGCATTTTTCAAACAAAATCAGTTACTACAAATGTGTGTAAATAACTTGACATTACAACAAAGAGAGCACAGATGAACACATTAGTGAGATAGATATACATTTGCTACGAACTGAATGATGCGATGGAACTGTGACAGTTTCAATTATTTCAACATTGAAAACCTGTTGTGTTTGTGTCATCTTTGTTTTGCAATGTAGAATTTATTTGCCTGTCTTGTGTATTTATGGTCCCACTTCAGTATGTATTAATTTTTTTTAAGATTTATTTTGAAGCAATTTCCCATAAACAGTATTGTTTTTTGGTGCGAAGTGCAAGTTACATTTCTGGCAGGTTTTATACACATAAATCACTTACAAAGAAAGGCAGTTCAATATATGCACGGCTGTATTTTTTCCAAGTTTAGTTTGTAGTTACTAAATTAATTCCTTTGCAAAACGCTACTATAAAGTTGGGTGATGAGCCAGAGTGAGATTGGTGACATAACAGTTTCCTGTACGTCGCTACATGTTTAGGTTAGGTGTAAGTACCTACCATATCCTAGTTCAATATTTAGCTTATAAAACATTTTCATGTGATCAATCTCACCTCTGCTAATCCATTTTGCCCCACTTTACGGTAGTGTATTATATACACTACTTTTAGGTCGATTTTTATCATTTGTGGTTTTTTTTTTTTTGTGAAATTCTGCATGTTTTGTGACAAGATAGCTCTAAACTGATGCATGTCTGTAATAACTAATAGTTTTTAATTTAATCGCTTTCCCCAGCGAGAGAACCGTCGAAAGGGCCAAAGACCTAGATAAGTGCCCTCCGTATCCATGTGAATGTTTGCAGAGACTGTAAAAGACCTGATCCGGTACCTGCGCCGCGATGATGCGAACCACGAGATCCGCCGCCACCTGGGCGAGGCGAAGGTGCTGCAGACGGACCTGCTGCCCATCCTGAAGCACCACTGGCGCAGGACGGACTTGTTCGACGTCGTGCTGAGGTGAGGTGTGATGTCTGGAGGCACACGTTGTGGGCTCCTCGTCGTCTTCTTCTCACAGCTTTCGATCCTCAGCCAGATGTGTTCGTAGCATGGTCGTCTGATCTTCTCCCGCCATCCTGTCGGCTTTGGTCCAACTATTGCCTCCTTCTGGCTTTCTCTCCATCATGCCCTTCTGGCTTCTACCTTATGGTATATTGCTCATCACAATTCCTTGAATATCCATCGTAAACTTTTCCTCGCATTCCTTTGTGTGTCCATAGAATCTAAGCTCACAGTTGTTTTAAGGAAACTAAAAAACTAAAGTGGCATGCAGTTGTTGTGTCATTTCGTGAGCAAAGCCCTAGGTGAGGGTGAAATGTCTTGAGAATATGTGGGATGGAAAAATACATGCCTAGTGATGAAGAAGTGATTCATTGAACTTTTGTGAAGTAACGTGTTGATCACAAGTAAACCCTCATGCCACATGTATATCGTACACCAAAATAAGAATCCTTTTCTGAATGTAGAGAACTTCTGCAAACAATTTAGGCCAGGAATTGAACCATGGGACCCCCAAATTGGTAAGTTGGTAGTTAAACCATTGAGATACCCAAAGGCCTGTTGTGGTTACAGATCCATCCAGCTACAGGTTGACTCAAAATTTGAATGCATAAGTTAGCTGGTAGTAGATGCGCCGTGGAATGTACTGTAGTCAGCTCCTGTATATATATATATATCTGTGTGTGTGTGTGTGCGTGCACGCGTGTGTGTGCATGCGTGCATGCGTGTGTGTGTAGTGCAGAATGTAGTATTGCTTTATACAATTATATTTCAGTAATATAATTGAACTTCAGATCTGAGTGGCTATTTGAAAATATTAATTATATTTTAGGTATTGCAAAACAAGTTCGTGATTGATTAAGTAGTGTGCATTGTCTGCTGTGCATTGTCTGCTGTGTAATTTGTAAAATGGTAGTATGTACTTCCTGCTGCAGGTTGCTGGTGAACCTAACAAACCCAGTACTGCTTCTCTATCGAGAGGAGCTGCCGGAGGACAAAACTTCCCGCAACTACTATCTCCAGCTTATTGGACATCTGCAGGCCTATAAGGAGGCCTTCACAGATGGAGCGGTGTGGACCATATTCGGCAACAAGCTCAGCGAGATCATGCAAATAGTAAGTCATTGTCACCCGGGTGTGTTAAACTCTTTTACATGTAAAAATATACCTATAATTGTGATGTTTAGACGGGGTTCCGATCGTCACTTATGTCCGTGAAAGTTGATCTGGATTCAATCTCTAGTGGGGTCGTTCCTCATTCACATATAGGAAATGGGGCCGATGTTGCCGTTGGGCAGCAGGTTTTCTCGGGATGCTTTCATTTTTACCCTTGTATTTCATCACTACTCCTATACCATCTCAGTTCATCCGACTGGATGCTAAAATCTTAGTAGTTATACAGATCTTGAATTTTTCTCCTCGCACATTCTTGTTATGAACGATGACAGCCTGCGAGGTCACATTATACATAGACAAATGCCTCCTACTGTTTGTAAACCTCACTGTCAAATGCACATGCATGTTACAGCTGACAATTCACCCTATCATTAAATTCATAATTTTTAATGCAGGAGTTTTTTATTTTATATTACGTACTAGGTTTCTCCCTTCAGTCTTAAAATTTCCAGTGAACTAAGGTTTACATTTTACTACCCACTGTGGAGAGTCGTGTTCTGTGTCAACTGCACCAGATCTACACTCTAGAGGGGCGCACTTGTGATGTGGTGGCTAAGGTGATCGCGCTTTCCACCAAGGGGAACTGTGTTCTATTCCCAGTGGGGTCACGCTCACATTTTTACGGGTGAGAATTGTGTTGGATGATGCCTACTGGTCAACGTGTTTTCTCAGGGATTTCCCATTTCCTCTGCCCGTGGATTACAGCACTCAGGACCCTGATGTTAAGAGCTGCTTAGATCTCCACGTCTGTTTGGAGGTTACTCGAGCTGAGTGGGATTTTGACAGCTCTTAACAAGATCTTGAAAGCCACTCCGGGTGAAACGAGGTGAGTATGGAACAGTGTCGGAATGAAACAGGAGATGCCTGAGAAAACCTGCATAGCAGAAAATCCAGTAGTTACCCGGCTGGGGATTGAACCTGGTTCTCCTTGATGGGAGGCGAGTATTCTAACCGCTCAGCCACCACGGCTCCGGTGGTTACTCGAGCATTTTAAAGAGCATACGTATCTTTATTTCTTTTTATTGTGCGAGCTCAACCACAGGAATAAATTAATGTTGCATTGGATTTCATGTGATAAATGGTGTTCTGTGCCAGTCAGGTGGTGCTGAAATTGATGCACTCATGTCAGTTCTTTCCATGATGTTTACTAAACAAAGTAAATGTAAATTGGTGGTGTCCATTGTAAACATTAGCCTGTTAGTAATTAGATGTTGGAATTACAGGTACGTTTCACTGTTTACTGCCAATTGTTACTTTAGATTGACCCTTCAGCATGTAATATATCGAACAAAATTAATCCTGACTGGAACTTTTTTCTTTTCATGGTGGTTTCCAAAAGTGCTCTGTTAAACTATACATGCTGCATGTCTGCAAACTTGAACGACTATTACAAGCAACGCTGCTATCTGCCGCTATCTGTGAAGGAGGAGCAGGTAACCGGAGAGCACAGCACAGTATTATTCCTACTAAGTGATTGGGAAATATTACTCCTTCAGTAAGTTCATCGCTGCGGAGGGTCAATTATTGTTCAATATTTAAAGTATTCGTCAAGTATTAGTAAGTTTATGTAGTGCTAACAGTGAAAAGAGAGATGCTAGTCGTGTGCTCTCATCGACAGCAGTGGATGGCTTTGAAAACATGAAAGGGTACGGACAAAAGTGGTTGACATGTATGATGTGTTCTGTTATTTTTTACACAATGAGGCAGGATCTAATCTGCTTGGTTACAGGCCCACCCCTTACGCTCTGTCTATTGTATTCCAGGAATTGTCAGTGATGTCCTCCTTTCTGGTGACTTTGCTCAAGCTTGCAGATGATTGGCATGGAGTATAACAGTGTATTCTGCTCTATAGGCAGTTCACGATAAAATGAGCACTTCTGAATGCCTTGTTTAAGATCTACTTGTATACACATTGTGTGTTCTTCGGCCTGATGTAAAATTAATATTGCTATTTGCTTCATCACTTTATTCATGCGGCGGTCAAGTGAAAATGTGAAATGATTAGAAAAGTAAATATAGTACAAATCTGCTCATTCTTACACCTCGAAGCATTAAAAAGTATAGAAAGTGAGAGAAACAGTTGTAAGTTTTCACAAATGGTTACCTAATACTTTTTATTCAACATTAAGATATGGAAATACTTTCCCTCCATCGTTACCAACTTTACTGGGGGCATGCCACTCCGTGCGCCCGTTAAAATATATGCAGGCAGGGGCAGTGACATTCCTCTGAGGTTGATTTCAAAAGTATTCATTTAGTCGTGAACAGCCTATAGTTGTGTGTACTCGTGTATGTAATGGGAAATGTTGGTTGTGGTGAACAGCTTGTCGCAAGGGTTGGGTGCGTGTTGTGCAGGAGTGGCAGGATCGCAGCGAGGACACAAGTCTGGTGATGGAGAGAATCCTGATCCTGGTGCGCAACGTGCTGCAGGTGCCGGCCGACCCAGAGGCTGAGAAGCGGACGGACAACGATGCCAGCATCCACGATCAGGTGTGTGCTTCTCCTCGCGCTGGAGCACGATGATGCCTAGTCTTGGACCTATCGAGGCTGTGAAAGGGGTTGCCGCAGTTGTACGGCTAGTGGTGCTTTGGTTTTCTGCTACGGCAATCTTGGTTTGATTCTTGGTGGTGTCACACCTGGGAAACACAGCATAAATGTAGTTGGTCTGCATATGTTCTTAAAGCTGTCTTGTTTTCCTTGCCCTTTCATTCCATTGCTGCTCATCCTGCCACATCTTGCCTCATCCTCATGAGCAATAACACACAGTTTGTAGCAGCTTACGTACCTGCCGTCTTAGCGCAGCTCCTCTCCTAGGCTGAACATGTAAAACATTGTGGTACTTAGCTCTTACATATTACAAGGTCGCCAGCCATAATTGTTTGACCCGGTCTTTTATTATAAAATACAGATACTTCTAAAATTTTGGGAAAAAAAGATATGCTTCCAATATATTTGTAGAATTTTGTTTATCAGTTAATCTTGCTCACCACGTGTGTCTGCTTTTAGGGTAGCTCCAAAGAAATGGAGTTTAATAGTATGAGGCAGTAGTTTAACTAAAACGGACATCAGAAATTCTAACCTTCAGTTCTGTTTAGGTAATAACTTTGTAACATGTTTTTATTTATTCATTTGTAGTTCACATATTTCAGTTATATTATTGAAAAGTACAGCGACGAAATAATTCTGAAGTAATGTTAAGACTATAATAAAATTATGTCACTAGGTAGGTAAATAATAATGAAACTTAAAAAAGTGCTAAAGTATTATGATTTTCATTCAATTTCAGTTTAATATCACTCCACGATTTGATTTGATTTCTAATGTAATGGTTTTAAAAAAAAATAACATTTGCACAACTCCAGAGTTTTTTAAAATGAAGTTTGTGAATGGACTTGGGTTGTACGCAGCTTTATTGTTGAATGTGTGGATTTGCTGTGTGCATGTAGCGAGGATTGTTTCCGCAGGTGCTGTGGGCCCTCCACGAGTCAGGGACGGTGGACTTGCTTCTGTACATATCCAGCATGGAGAGCGAGCACCAGTATTACATGCACATTCTTGAGGTAACTGCTCGGGTCTGCATGCGATGCCGATGGGAGCACTCACTGTTAACTAGTTACAGCCCCTTCACAGTTACTTCCAGCTTGGAGTTCTTCCTCTGCCTCTTGCTATAGGCTGTTCACGATAAAATGAGCATTTTTGAAAACCCTGCTTAAGATCTAATTGTATGCATGTCGTGTATCCTTCCTCCTTGTGTAAAATTATCATTGCCGTGGGCCTCGTCACTTTGTTCATGCGCTGGTCAAGTGAAACTGTGGAATTATGAGAAAAATAAATGTTTTACAAATCTGCTCATTTTCACACTTTGATGTATTAAAAAAAAAAAACAGAAAGTGAAAGAAATAATTTAAGTTATCACAAATGGTTACCTAACACTTTTATGTGATGTTAAGATATGGAACTACTTCTCCTCCATCATTAACAACTTTACTGTGTGCATGTCGCTCAGTGCCTGCGTTAAAATATATGCAGTTTGGGACAGTGACTATTTTGTATAGTGAACAGCCAATAGCAAAGCTTGACTAAATATAGAGAAATTACATAAAGGGGCAATGCTCCATGTTTGTGCACACACTCAGTTTAGAAATATTTTTGATGAGAACTATTTCTTACTAGGCACTACCAGCACACCTGTATACTCTCATATATATATTGATTGAAATAATATCATTAATGGGTGAAATAGAACTTGTTTAATTTAACCTAAAATTAAATACTTTTATCTTAACAGAAGTATAAAACACTTTGGTACATGACATTTAGGAAACGGCCAAATACGTCGTACACAAAATGATTTTTCAAAGGTTTGTTTCAGTAAGTGTC